AGTTCAGACGTGTGCTCTTCCGATCTTTTTTGCTCCAGGTTTAATCGAATGGTCAGATCCCCGCAATGCCGATTTGACAAAACGACGTTTAGTAAATTGGCTTCAGCGTCGCCAATTTTGTTAAAAAAATAAATAAAAAAAATATTTTTTACTTCTAAAGACTTGTATTATTAAAACCTTAAAACGAATTTTTGTTACTTTTATTGTTTTCCTAAAAAAAATTCCCAAAGTTACCGATTGATTTTTAGGCGGTCAAGGTGGTGTAACCCCTTAAGCTGCTTTTCCATCCAAGCGAAGAAAAGCTTTATTCTACTCTTTTCGACAGTGATTTTCGACAAAATCATTGTTTTACTAAATTCCTATACCGAGCATTTCCAATGTAAATAATCCTGTGTAAACGATCCAGCGATGTACTTCTGAATGATATGACTATGAAAATGGATTAGACTCCTTGGACAATATACATACAGGGTGTTCGCTACTCAATGGTAAAACGCTCGTAGGCAGGTAGAGTGAACCAAACTGAATAAAAAAGTCCTCTATCATTTTGTTATATTCGCAATAATTTTCGAGATATTAATATATTTATTGCACGCTTATCAATACTGCGACTCACCTTCCAGCGAGCGGCCCGCGGTGGACGGGTGTATCTCGCCGCGCATTCAGATTCGACAGGATTTATATATTAATATCTCGAAAACTGTTGCAAATATCGCAAAATGATAGATGACTTTTTTGTTTAGTTGGTCCACTCTACCTGCCCACGAGCGCTGTATCATTAAGTAGCGGACACCCTATATATACGATTATAACGTTCTAAATATTGACTATTCTATCGCGCATTCTCAATTCTTTCTTCATTCACACAGTGATTATTAATACAGGTCTGTGTTGGACACTCCGAGTTCTTCGAGTTGAATGAAAAAAAATCTCCATAGCACCCCACTATCTAAACGAAAGATGGAAAACGAATATCAGGATGAAGAATCAATGTATATTATATTTTTCTTTTTGGTGATACTATATAAAGAAATTAAATATTAAATTTTCTTTAATATTAATTAAAGTAAATCTTACCAATAATTTAACAAAATTTATTTATATTCATGATTGAATTATTATTTTCGTTAAAGAGAGAAATAAATACATGGCATATTTTTTATGTTTTTAAGAGAAATTTTATTTATTATTCATATTATCTATATTATCTTAATTAAATTTTTTTACAATCTTTTTTATTAAAATTGTATTAAAACATAAAGTATTTGATTAGCATTGTGCGAACATAATGAAAATCGTAAAATCGTACAATTTTTATTGTGTGCACATATCTATAAAATACCTATAAACCAAAAGTTAATTGACTACTAAACGGAATCTTACAGTTTGCGTAATCCCATAGAAGCCTTTACATACCATGAAAGGATATTATGGATGATAGATGAACGAAATGATGTTGTGGAATTTATGACAAAAATAACGCGCCTAAGTTTAGATATGAGTGAAATTTTAAAAAATTCTACGTAAGTAAGACAGATATCTTCGAATAAGTAATTATTCACATTTCTTATACATTAAATCATAAACGAATCTAAGAATTTTAACATCAAATTTTATTATATACAATATTATAATGTATACAAGAATAATTTGTATCATGTTACAAAAAAACATAAATATTTATTAACTATTTTAAATTTATGAACTAATCAATCACAGAATATTTAAGCTTTCGTAGTTTTACAATTTTTAAAAATTTTCGTAACAAAAGCATAGCAAATTACAAATTTAAATGATTGTATGATATTTATTACGGCCATCAAGCATAACCCTTAATATAAAGCCAGTTAACTCACAATTTTACGGATTTTTATAGTCAATTACATGAAGAACAACTATCATTTGCAAGTTTGGAATTGCAAGAAATAATAAAAGGTCTTAATGATTTATTTTCAAGAATACAAAAATTTGGGTAAGTTTGAGTGAGACAAGTTTCTAAAAAGTAATTATTCAGAAATCCTGACTAATATTCTGGGGTAAACGATTTGTATATAGTTTTAAATTCTTGGATTTATATTTGTTCTTAATATTTCGACAACATCAGATGATCAACTCACAATCAATCAACAAAAGATTAAAAAAAACAAGTATTCGTTTTAATTGCATTACGTAAATAAAGATTTTTATTAATGAAATTAAATCTTAAGACTAATATTCTCTAATGTAAATTAAAGTAAATTTATCTTCTTGGAAACGTGATACCAAGTGCCATTATATGGATATCACTCAACAAAATTGATTTATATTTACGATTGAATTATTATTTTTATTAAAGAGAGAAATAAATACGCGGCATATTTTGTGACATTTTTTTATGTTTTTAAGAAAATTTCTATTTTTATTATTTATATTATCTATATTATCTTAATTAATATTTTTTGTAATCTGTTTTATACATTTTAAAATTGTATTAAAGCATAGGGTATTCAATATACTAGCATATACTAGTATTGTGCGTACATAATCAAAAACGTAAACAAATAATTTTTAATGTGTGCAGATTGAGTATCGAAGACCAACAAATGTTTGAAGAATCTAGTGTGATACTACCAAGAGAAATGTCGAAATATCCAATAACAATAATAGATCTAAGCACAAAGATACAAAAAATGTTAATGGAAAAGTATGTATAACAGCTTCTAATAACTAATTATTCACATTTTTTATAAATTAGACTATAAACGAATCTGAAAATTAAATATCAACTTTTGAAGAATAATTATTAATATAAAATAAGTTAAACTCATTATTAAGCAGTCTTACAAATCCTTATAGATTTTTCGAAGGCAAACAAGCAGGCAGTCAAACAGTGGATGCACTATATAGAGAAACATTGCAATTAGAAGAAATAGAAACACGCTTTCGTAATATAATTTTAAGAATGACAAACGAGTAAGTATGAGTAAGACAATCTTTTAAAAGTAATTATTCAAAAATCGCACATTCCACATAGAGCCGGGCCGAGGAATTAAGGCGCCCTGGAGACAAAAAAGTCACCCCTTCTTCTCTTATTCCGCCTTTCTCGATTACGTTTTTTTTTTAAATATTTTTTATATATATTTAAATATTTTAAAAATGCTTTATTATTATTTTTGTATATAGTTGTATATAGTTTTAGTTTTTATAATATTTGTTTTAGGGGAAATCCTTAAATGTTTAAAAAAAATTTGGAGATTGCGCAGTGTCTCCCGCATGCGGCATGTCGCCCGCTTATTCCGGCGTCCCGCTCTTGATTCCACAGTACACATACGGAGAAAATTTTATATTAAGTTTTAATAACATTTTGAATCATATTTTACTATTTTTTAAAATTGTGTTATTGCAGTGGACCATCATATCTCTATAGATTAATTACGCAACACAACATAGTAAAATTTAAAACTAACTTCACCTTAACAACTATTACATATTTGACATAGTAAAAATTCGTGAATCAAAGTTATTATCTTTATTGTGTAATATTGTAAAATTATTGTAATATTATATTTCAATTTTAATAATTGGGCAAATGTATTTTTTATTTTTTTTTTATTATTCTTTCTTCAGATCCTTATTTATTCTTTTGTATTAAATTTACTTATAATGAGTGATATTATATTTTTAATATTTAATGGAAAAAAATTAATAATATACTATTGTACTTAATCCAATAAAAACATTTATTATAGTGATATTATATTTTTAATATTTAATGGAAAAAAATTAATAATATACTATTGTACTTAATCCAATAAAAACATTTATTGATAGTACACAAAATGTACTACAAAATGTACACACAAAATGTAAAATACATACACAAAATGAAAATATTATAGTATAGGTATGAAAATAAAAATAAGTAAACCCAGGTAGAAATGATCGATCCATAGATCTCGATTCGATATCTATAGATGTCGAATTATCGTCTATGGACCGATCATTTCTGCCTGAGTATTTACAATAATAGAAAAAGTGTATGGGAAATTGAGGAAAAGTCCTTTTATAATTTTATATATGAATTAAAAAAAATCTAAACAGTTTTCACTGAATGATTGAAAAGTAAGTATACATGTTTAAATCAAAATTTAAAAAAAGACCTATGAAAAATTGTATTAATTAGAAATACAACTTTAACTTTAGAATTATTTTTTTAACACTTAACAAAAATGGACATTTCCTCTAAATATCGCGTAATATCCCACACGAAACAAAACCTCCCTTAGACGTCCATATAGCCTCCATAGCTCCATACAATATCCACGTCTATGATGGAAGTTAAATAGATCTCCAAAAGAGATCCATACTACACTACGCAAAAAAATTAGGGGAGCACTTTAAAAACTGCAAATTTTGTCGATTTTCAGAAACCAATATCTCGGCTTCTAGGAATCGCAGAACATTGTTCCTTAGCGCGTTTTAAAGGCCTCTACTTTAAAATGGCCTAAATGAGATTTGTCGTCCCAATAAACTATTTTTTTCACAAAAACCAAAAGCAGAGAGTGTTTGAGTCTTAAAAATGTTATGACATTGCAGCCTTTCATAGGCAAAGCAACAACGAGGCGAGAAACATCACCACATTAGTTTTAAAGCCGAAAATATTCCCTTTAAAATGGCATAAAGAAAATTGTTCTAGCTTGCCTAGGAGCTGAGTTATCAGGTTCCAAAGTAGACTTTGTTTTTTGCAAGATTTT